CACCCCCGCTCTCCCAGGGCCGCGCTGGAAGAGGCCGAGTCGGACGCGGCCGAACTCGAAACTCACCTGGAGAAGGTTCGGGGAGGGGGACCCCAAATTTGGGGGGGTTTCGGGGGGATTTTGGGGGTCTCCAGGTGGATTTTGGGGTCCCAGGTGCTGGAGCTGTGCTGGGGATTTTTTTTGGGGTGGATTTTGGGGGAATTTGGGTGGATTTTGATGGATTTTTGGGGAATTTTAGGGTGGTTTTGGGTCGATTTTTAGGTGGATTTTGGGAGAATTTTGGGGGAATTTGGGGTGGATTTTGGGGTGGATTTTTGGAGGAATTTTGTGGCAGATTTTGGGGGAATTTTTGGGTGGTTTTGGGTGGATTTTTAGGTGGATTTTGGGGTGGATTTGGGGTGAATTTTGTAGGAATTTTGGGGTAGATTTGGGGTGGATTTTGGGGTGGATTTTGATGGATTTGGGGGGGATTTTTGGGCTGGATTTGGGGCAGATTTGTGTTGGATTTTGGGGGAATTTTGGGGTAGATTCTGATGGATTTGGGGAGAATTTGGGGGAATTTTTGAGGTGGATTTTGGGGTCACCCTCGGGGGTTTTTGGGGTGGATTTTGGGGGAATTTTGGGGTGGATTTTGATGGATTTTGGGAGAATTTTGGGGTAGGTTTTGGGTTGGATTTGGGGGGAATTTTGGGATAGATTTTGATGGATTTGGGGGGGAATTTTGGGGGAATGTTTGAGGTGAATTTTGGGGTCACCCTCGGGGTTTTTGGGGTGGATTTTGTGGGAATTTGGGGTGATTTTGGGTTGGATTTGGGGCAGATTTGGGGTGGATTTTGGGGGAATTTTGAGATAGATTTTGATGGATTTGGGAGGATTTTTTGGGGTGGATTTAGGGGAAATTTTTGGGTTGGGTTTTGGGGTCACTCTCAGGGTTTTTGGGGTGGATTTGGGGTGGAATTTGGGGGGATTTTGGGGTAGATTTGGGTTGAATTTTTAGGTGATTTGAGTTGGATTTTGGGGGAATTTGGAGGAATTTTTGGGTTGGATTTTGGGGTCACGCTCGGGGTTTTTGGGGTAGATTTGTGGATTTTGGGGAAATTTTGGAGTGGATTTTGATGGATTTTGGGGGAATTTTTGGGATGGATTTGCGGTGGATTTTGGGGTAGATTTGGGGGGAATTTTTAGGTGAATTTGGGTTGGATTTTGGGGAGTTTTTGGGTGAATTTTGGGGTCACCCTCGGGGTTTTTGGGGTGGATTTGGGGTGGATTTTGAGGTGAATTGTGGGGGATTTTGGGGAGATTTTGGGGGGAATTTTTGGGTGGATTTGGGGTGGATTTTGGGGGAATTTTGGGGTGGATTTTGATGGATTTTGGGGGAAATTTTTGGGGAGTTTTTGGGTGGATTTTGGGGTCACCCTCGGGGTTTTGGGCTCCCCAGGTGCTGAAGCTCTGCTCGGCCGTGCTGGAGGCCGGGCGGGTTCTGGAAGTTTCCAGCCGCGCCTTCGCCGCGGGGCTGCGGGAGCTGGCGGAGACCCCCCGGGGGGACCCCCTGGTGCAGGTGAGACCCCAAAATCTGGGGGTCCTGGGAGGCTTTTGGGGATGCTGAGAGGAATTTTGGGGGTCCTGGGAGGATTTTGGGGGTTCTGAAGGAAATTTTGGGGATCCTGAGGGGAATTCTGGGGTTTCTGATGGGAATTTTGGGGTTCCTGGAGAAGTTTTGAGTTTCTTGGGGGATTTTTGGGGGTCCCTGTGATGAATTTTGGGGTGCTGTGTTGAATTTTGGGGTCCTTGATGTGAATTTTGGGGACCCTGAGTTGAATTTCAGGTTCCTGAGATGAATTTTGGAGTCCCAGGCGTGAATTTCGGGGTCCAAGGGGTGAATTTTGGGGTCCCAGGAGTGAATTTTGGGTCCTTGAGGTGAATTTTGGGGTCCCTTGCATGAATTTCGGGTTCCTAAAGTGAATTTTGGGGTCCCGGGATGAATTTTGGGGTCCTTGAGATAAATTTCAGGTTCCTGTGATGTATTTTGGGGTCCCTCACATTAATTTTGGGGTCCCGGGGTGAATTTTGGGGTCCCCGGGGTGAATTTTGGGGTCTCTGAGGTGAATTTTGGGGTCCCCGCCCCCCCGGTGACCCCCAACCCCCCCAGGAGTCGCTGCAGAAGTTCTGTGATTCGCTGGAGCAGATGATGGACAGCCACGAGGTCTGCAGGCCACGCCCCCTTCCCCACGGCCACGCCCCTTACCCCAACCCCACCCCTTTCCTTTAAACCACGCCCAGTAACTTTAAGCCACACCCATTCCATTTAAACCACGCCCAGTAACTTTAAGCCACACCCATTCCATTTAAACCACGCCCAGTAACGTTAAGCCACACCCATATCATCTAAGCCACGCCCATTATATTTAAGCCACTCCTCATCCCATTGAGCCACGCCCCTCAATTTAAGCCACGCCTTTTCCCCAACCCCACCCATTTCCTTTAAGCCACGCCCATTCAAATTAAACCACACCCAATAACATTAAGCCACACCCATTTCCTTTAAGCCACGCCTGTTCCTGTTAAGCCACGCCCCTTTCATTTAAGCCACGCCCCAATCTCCATTTGCTGCTGGTCACGCCCCTTCTACTGGGCACGCCCATCCCCTAGGCCCCACCCCTCATTTGCATAACCCCAATCCTTGGTATGCCACACCCCTCTGAAATGACCACGCCCATCTGTGAGGCCACGCCCATTTCCCCACAAAGCCACGCCCTTTTACAATAACCACGCCCATTTTAAAGAAACCACAGCAATTTGTCATGAGGCCACGCCCATTTCCCCACAGGGCCACACCAAATTCCCATAAGCCACGCCCCTCTCTCAAGCCCCACCCACCCTGCCCCTCCCCTTGTCAAACCACGCCCCCTCCAGCCCTGACCACACCCCTTTTACCTGACCACGCCCACCTATTACATTCCATCTTGGCCACACCCCTTTTTACATGACCCCGCCCCCTTTCCTTCCTGACACGCCCCTCTGCTGGTGACCACGCCCCTTTTCTGTCTTTCTTACACCCTTTCCCTCATGACCACGCCCCCTTTTTGCCTGATCACGCCCCAATCTGATTGGCCACGCCCCCTTTTTGCCTGATCACGCCCCAATCTGATTGGCCACGCCCCTTTTTGCATGGCCACACCCCTTTTTACCTGACCCCGCCCATTTATGATTTCCCAACACCCTTTTCTGAATGACCATGCCCCCTGTTTGCCTGACCACACCCCTATCTGGTTGACCACGCCCCTCTGGTGCTGACCACGCCCCTTTTCTGCCCTGGCCCCGCCCCCAGGAGCTGCGGAGCTGCACCCAGAGCGCGCTGGGCCGGAACCTGGAGCCGCTGCTGCGCCAGTGAGGGGGATTTGGGAATTTTGGGGGGATTTTGGGGGGATTTTGGGGGATTTTGGGGGGTCCTGGGGGTTCCAATCCCATTTTGGGGTTTAAATCCCTTTTTTGGGGGCTTTTATCCCATTTTTTGGGGTTTTAATCGCTTTTTTGGGGGGTTTAATCACTTTACTTTTGGCAGTTTAATCCCATTTTTGGGGGTTTTAATCCCCATTTTTGGGTTTCAATTCCTTTTTTTGGGGTTTAATCCCTTTCTTGGGGGGTTTTAATCCCACTTTTTGGGGAGTTTTAATCTCCATTTTTGGGTGTTTTTCCCCATTTTTGGGTGTTCCAACCCCTATTTTTGGCTGTTTATCCCCATTTTTGGGTGTTCTAACCCCATTTTCTGGTGTTCTAACCCCAATTTTTTGGTGTTTTTTTCCCCATTTTTGGCTGTTTTTCCCCATTTTTGGCTGTTTTTCCCCATTTTTGGGTGTTCTAACCCTAATTTTTGGGTTTTTTTCCCCATTTTCCTGTCCCAGCTCTCTCCGCTCCGTGGGCTCTCGGTTCAGCCCCGTTTCTGACCCATTTTTGGGGTTTTTTCCCCATTTTCCTGTCCCAGATCGCTCCTCGGGCTCTCGGTTCAGCCCCGTTTCTGACCCATTTTTGGCTGTTTTTTCCCCATTTTCCTGTCCCAGCTCTCTCCGCTCCGCGGGCTCTCGGTTCAGCCCCGTTTCTGACCCATTTTTGGCTGTTTTTCCCCATTTTTGGGTGTTCTAACCCTAATTTTTGGGTTTTTTTCCCCATTTTCCTGTCCCAGCTCTCTCCGTGCTCTCCGCTCCTCGGGCCGGGAGCGCGGCTCGGCGGGCTCTCGGTTCAGCCCCGTTTCTGACCCATTTTTGGGTGTTTTTCCCCCATTTTCCTGTCCCAGCTCTCTCCGTGCTCTCCGCTCCTCGGGCCGGGAGCGCGCACGCGCGGCCGAGCTCCTGCAGGGGGCGCTGCAGCACCACGCCGAGGTGCCGCGACGGCGCCCCCTGGAGGCCAAGGAGGCGGCGGCGGCGCTGGGCGGGGCCAGGGGCGTGGCCAGGGCCAGGGGGCTGGACTACGTGCTCAAGGTGGGCGGGGCTTACATGGGAGTGGGTGTGGTCAGGGCCAGGGGGCTGGGCTATGTCCTGAAGGTGGGCGGGGCTTAAACAGGGAAGGTGGGACTTAAATGGAGAGGGTGGAGCTTACATGGGGTGGGCGTGGCCAGGGCCAGGGGGTGGGACTACATCCTCAAGGTGAGTGGGGCTTAAAGGGAGAGGGCGGGGCTTAAATCAGGAGGGCGTAGCCAGGGCCGGGGGGTTGGACTATGCCCTCAAAGTGGGTGGGACTTAGCTGGGGTGGGTGTGGCTTAAGCCAGGAGGGCGTGGTCAGGGCCAGGGGGCTGGACTATCTCTTCAAGGTGGGCGGGGCTTAAATTGGGGAGGGTGGGGTTTAAATGGGGGTGGGTGTGGTCAGGGCCAGGGGGTTGGACAACATCCTCAAGGTGGGTGGGGCTTAAAGCGAGAGGGAGGGGCTTAAATCAGGAGGGCGTGGTCAGGGCCAGGGGGCTGGACTATGTCCTGAAGGTGGGTGGGGCTAAATTTGATGGGCGTGGCTTAAATGTATGGGTGTGGCCAGTGGCTGGGTGATGTTCTGGAGATGGGAGGGGCTTATATAGGGATGGGTGGGGCTTAAATAAGTGGGCGGGGCTTAATGGAGCAGCAACTGTGTTGCATCATAATGGAGGGCGTGGCCTAAAGGGGATGGGCGTGGTTTAAAGGGGCAGGCGTGGCCCTATCAAGGGGCTGGTGGTTTGTCAGTGGGAGGGGCTTAAATGGGTGTGGTTTGGGCGTGGCTTAACCAGCTGAAAAGGGGTGGGGCCAAGCAGGGCTGACATTAAAGGGGTGGGGTCAGTGGGTGTGGCCTCGAGGGGCGTGGCCTGGTCCCGCCCTTACCCCGCCCCTCCCCCGCAGCTGAGGCTGCTGCAGGACCAGCAAAAAACGGAAATTCTGCAATTTGTGAGCGAAATTTGGGGGGTTTGGGGGTCCCTGAGGGGCTGGGGGGTTCTGGGGGGAT